TGACCAATAGCAGGAAATGCTCAGAGATTGTGAATTGTAGGGTAAATATCAGTTGAACTTCCATCTCATTATCACTGAAAATACAAGTGCAATCTCTAAATCCTACTTAGAGGAGATGAGATTTTTCTATCCAGAACATGGACCTTAATGTTAATGACAGATTTATTTGTTAATATTTATTTATATACAGATAGGGTCTCACTTTTTTGCCCTGACTAGTTTGGAACTCCTGGTTTCAAGTGATCCGCCTACCTCGGCCTCCCAAAGTGCTGAGATTACAGGCGTAAGCCACCATGCCCGGCCTGTGGATTTATTTTTGAATGGCTCCCATGTACCAGGAACTGTGCCAGACACAAGGAATACAAAGGCAGATAACAGCCTTAAACAGAAGGCAGGGTAGGGTATGGCTTAGAAGGACACTGAAATAAAAGGTTACCTTTGTACCTTTGTACAAAAAAAAAAAAGAAAAGAAGAATTATGTGCTGATTTCAATTTTATAATACTTTCAAAAATGCAATGCTGTCCATTTATTAAAAAGAGTGAAGATAATCAATAATTAGGATTATAGAAAAGTAGTGAAAACAGCACAATATTATATCTATAAAATGTTGATGTTGGTCTGTGCCATTGGTAAATGGCATTGGTGGGGGGAAAGTTGAGTCTCTTATGCATTGAGCCTTTGGGGTGATGTGTAGTGATTTCCATAGGGCTGAGTCTAGGGCCAAGCTCCTTGCCTGAATTGAAGGTAGAAGTTCCTTGAAAGAAACAGAACCAAATCTGTTTGCTGATGAAGATTTGCCTGTGCATGGTAAAAACACAACCTCAAATACAAATATAGTGTAGTAAAAAATGTTAATGTTGGCCGGGGGCGGCGGCTCATGCCTGCAATCCTAGCACTTTGGGAGGCTGAGGCGGGTGGATCATGAGGTCAGGGGTTTGAGACCAGCCTGGCCAGCATGGTGAAACCCTGTCTCTACTAAAAATGCAAAAAATTAGCCGGGCATGGTGGCACGCACCTGTAGTCCCAGCTACTTAGGAGACTGAGGCAGGAGAGTTGCTTGAACCTGGCAGGTGGAGGTTGCAGTGAGCCAAGGTCGTGCCACTGCACTCCAGCCTGGGCGACAGAGGGAGACTCCTTCCCCCTACAAAAAAGCTGTTAAAACATTATATATACATTTTTCTTCTTTCTTTCCTTCTTTCTCTCCTTCTTTTCTCTTTCTCTCTCTCTCTCTCTTTCTTTCTCTCTCTCTCTTTCTCCCCTCCCTCCCTCCCTCCTTCCCTCTCTTCCTTCCTTCCTTTCCTTTTTTGTTGGAGTTTCACTCTGTCACCCAGGCTGGAGTGCAGTGGCGTGATCTCAGCTCACTATAACCTCTGCCTCCCAGGTTCAAGCGATTCCGCTGCCTCAGCTTCCTGAGTAGCTGGGATTACAAGCGCCTGCCACCATGCTCAGCTAATTTTTGTATTTTTTTAGTAGAGACAGGGATTCATCATACTGGTCAGGCTGGTCTCGAACTCCTGACCTTAGGTGATCCGTCAACCTTGGCTTCCCAAAGTACTCGGATTACGAGTGTGAGCCACTACACCTGGCCTCCACTTTTTTTTTTTTTTTTTTTTTTTTTTTTTTTTTTTTTTTTTTTTTTTTTTTTTTTTTTTTTTTTAAATAGAGACAGGGTCTTGCTATGTTGCCGCCCCGACTGGTTTCGAACTTGTGGGCTCAGACAATCTTCCTGCAGTGGCCTCCTAAAGTGCTGGAATTACAGGCATGAGCCACCACGCCCAGCCAAAACATTATATATTTGAACAAAAATCATAAGAGAACACAAAGATGCTTGCTATGGTTTGAATATGTCTCTTAAATTTCATATGTTGGAAATGTGATCCTCCGTGTGGTGGTGTTGGGAGGTGAGGCTTAAAGGGAGGTGTTTGGGTCAAGAGGGCACCACTCTTATGAATAGGTTAATGCTATTATTGAGGGAGTGGGTTTGTTATTTCAGTAGTGAGTTCCTTAAAAAAGGATGAGTTCTAGCCTCCTCTTTCGCTCTCTTGCTCTCTCTCTCTCTGCCCTTCCACCATGGGATGATGCAGCAGGAAGGCCGTTGTCAGATGCCAGTGCCTCGATCTTAACTTCCCATTCTCCAGAATTGTGAAGAAATAAATTTTGTTCTTTATAAATTACCGAGTCTGTGGTATTTTGTTATAGTGGCATAAAATGGACTAAGACAATACTAATGGGTATGAAGTTTCTTTTGGAGGTGATGAAAATATTCTAAAATTGACTGTAGTGGTGGCTGCACAATTCTGTGAATATACTAAAAGCCATTGCATTGTATACTTTAAGTTGGTTAATTGTATGATATGTAAATTATATCTCAATAAAACCATTATAACAGAAAAAGAGAACAGACATAAAAGCATTTGTTAAAATAGTGTTGTAAAATTTAAGGTAAAATTTCTTATATTTTAACTTTTGTGTAATAATAAATGATTATTTTAATTTAGGAGAGGTTCTTTGTACCACTGAAATTTCAGCATTTCTTTTTTATTTAGTACATTCCTATTTCTCTTTTTTCTTCTTCATATGCACATTGTTGTATAATCTTTTTGTGTGCATTATATGAAAAATACAAACCCATTTTTTCTCTGAATAATGTTGATATAACATTCTTCCCAAGTTAATTAGAGAGGATGATGATGTACAAGTTTATGGGTTTTAGGATTTATGAATTTGTGGGTCTTAGTTTTATATTTCCAAACTGGCCTTTTTAGAAAGCAAGAAGACTCAGGCACCAAAGTAAAACACAATAAAGTGAAACAAAATGCTATTTTGTATTCTTTCTAGTTCACACCCAAAGAGGGATCTATTTCAGAGCCTCTTAAGTAAATAATGCCATTTCTCTCAAAATTAATATTAGAGTTCTCACAAAAGACAGGAACAGGCCTTGTAGTAAGCAGTGAAGGACACTGAATCTCATTTTTAATGTCCAGACAATTACCAGGGTTGTGAATAGAAAGAAAAGACCTTTCCATGTTGATAGCCTACTGCCTCTTATCCCCAAAACTGATTGAACACCCTTGCAGTTTTTGTTCTGGTTCCCTGTCTCTGGATCTTCTGTGGGTCATCATCAATAAGGCGTTCTGTTTGCCCGAGACGGGCTGGTTGGGAGAGGGTGACAGCTACTTTGGAGACGGTGTGTGGAAATACGTTTTTTCGTTTTTTTGAGACGAGGGTCTCACTCTTTTGCCCAGGCTGGCGTGCAGTGGGACAATCAAGGCTCACTGTAGCCTCGACTTCCTGGGCTGGAGTGATTCTCCCACCTCAGCCTTCTGTTTGTTTGTTTCGTTTTGTTTTGAGACGGAGTCTGGCTCTGTCGCCTAGGCTGGAGTGCAGTGGCATGACCTCGGCTCACTGCAACCTCCGCCTGCCGGGTTCAAGCGATTCTCCTGCCTCAGCCTCCCAACACCTCAGCCTTCTGAATGGCTGGGAGTGCAGGCGCGCATCCCCATGCCCAGCTAATTTATGTATTTTTTTGTATAGACGGGGTTTCTCCATGTGGCCCAAGCTGTTCTCGAACTCCTGGACTCAAGGGTTCTGCCCACCTCGGCCTCCCAAAGCGCTTGGATTACAGGTGTGAGCCACCGCGCCCGGCCTACAATTGTTTTTTAAATTTCGTTTTGTTTTGTTTTGCGGTAATTTTTACAATTTTCAACATCAGGCATAGGAGGACAGGAGTAAGAGGCCCAAGAGGGCTGCAGACTGGCAGGGAAGGTGAAGAATTGGAGGGTGGCGCACTAACAGTAACAGAGGGCATAAAGGTAGATGGTGGGCTAAGAATAATGGGAGGGGTGTTGACGAAGGAAGGATGGGCTGAGCGAGAGATGATAGTGGAGACCCCTGTGACCGAGGGGAGGGGAAAGGTGGAAGAAGCAGAGTGGGATAGGGGGCCCTGGGAAAGGAGTGAAGGAGGTCGGTAGACTGCTGAAGGTTAGACTCAGAGGGTCGGTAGGGGGAGGGGGAGGAGGGTAAAGGGCTTGCGCAGCGCATGCGCTGGAAGCACACTGCGGCGATTCCGGAGAGGTTGTCCTTTTCTGGCATCAGCGTTGCGGCTCGAGGCAGTGCTGGTCCTGTGTCTGCTGTCCATTGCCGCTAAGGCCTGTTGCTGTCATTCAAGGATCTCTCTCTCTCTCTCTTTCATGCCGCTCTCTCCACCCCATCTTGGGACTGCCGGCTCTAAGAATTCCTGCTACAACACTGAATTCAACCAGGAGGTAAAGGAACGATGTAGGGGAAGAACAGAACATGGAGGGCGGCGGAGGGAACTTGGGCCAGGAAGATCCTTAATTTGTGCATTTTTCCAGTTCACGGGAGGAAAAAATGGAATCCGTTACAGGCACCAGTTCTCCAAGGATGTTGAGCATTTGCTTCCCATTGTGAAAGGAATGCAGACTCCTTTCCTCTAACTAGAGTCAAGGCACCTGAGCATCGGTGTTTTCCATGTTCCCTGTTTAAAACATTTGGGGCTCGTCATTTGTAGCAGATGTATTTAAAGGGCAAGGCCTTAGGATTAGGTTCATCCGATTATTTAGGAGAGTTTTCCTTGGCTTTGTTCATGTTGGCGGGTCTTATGTGAATCCTAGGGTATTATAGCCCCCTCCCTTGGAGTCGGGACCGATTCAATCTAGATCTGGGTTTCACTCTGATCACCTGCAACGCCTTCTTTCCCGGATTCAATTTCCCTAGTTTACCGCATCTACCCGCATTAGAGAAGGCTGGTAGTGGCTCTCCTTGGGCAATGGGGCAGAACTGTGGCGAGAAATACGTCCAGATAGCATCAGGCATGCATACTGTATATAAATGGGAGCAAGAAGAAAGAGGACTAGCGCGGTGCGCAGGGTTTTGAGAGGCTGGATGAGGAGGCGCGGCACCGAGGGGCGGCGCTCAAGCTTACAGTATTTGAGAAGACCTGAGTTAAGGGGAGGGGCTCCAGTGGGTGGCGAGGAGAGGGAGACACGCATGCGCAAGGCTTGAATGGAGTGGGGGTTGGAGGGTCGGGAAGAGAAGGGCTCGCATGCATATTTACGAACGCAAAGTTGCTAGAAGTTGGCACCAGAGGTTGGGAGGGAGAGATGGCGCTCATGCGTATTTGAGACATCTTGATGGGGAGAATGGTAAGGAGGAAGCGGCGCGCATGCGTATTTCAAACGGAATGCCGGGGAGGGGAGGTGCTCAGTGTTCGTGTAATTAAGGTTGCAAAATGGCGAGGGGGGAGGTAAGCTGTCTTTGCTTGGCCGTCTTGGGCTATCAGGCCCTGCAGAGAACTACTCTTTTAGCTGAGTGAAGGGATCAACCTGAGTTGGAGTTTTCCTATGCTGTGGCCAGATATACTAGAAATTAACCCAGAATCTTAGCCTATCACTGGCCTATCGGTAAGTGGGTTCAAAAATGAGGAGGGGATGATGACTCTGCAAAAGGTTGCGGCAGCTGGCGGTGCGTAGGAAATGCGTAAAAAGGGAGCACTTGGAGACAGGCCACATTTGGGCAGTATGCTTTCGAAGGCCTCTCTCTGGCTTTCCGATCATGGGCCGCTTGTACTTGGCTTTGAATACAGTCATTCCATCAGAGTAGCAAAGCACAGTGGTTGTAGTGTGAGAATCTAATATTGATGCCCTTGATTGCCGAAAACCCTTGATTTTCTTCCCTGAGAACACAGGCGTGAGGATTTGGATGTGTTTCCAAATGCTTGTTACTCTTTGCCGTAAACCTGGAATTTGGACCTATGGTTGCCTGGGACTCATACTGTTGTAGAGAAAGATTGAAAAGTAGTTAGTGGCAGTGGTGTTATGAAGGTAGCCTGGGCTTTCACCTTCTTTTATTTTTTCTTCTGTAGAACTTTCAGCACGGTTTTGTCAAGGGGGAACATTAGAGTTTCTTTTCTTTTTTAAAGGCAGATGTACTGTCATGACTCCAAGGGGACAAGATTAAAAAAGTGAAAAAACAGATCTTTTTCCAATAATCCTAGCTATGATTTCATGGTGGTCCTTTTCCTTCTCTGGGTCTATTTCTCTCTCTCTCTCCCTCTCTCTCTCTTTCTCTCTCATTTACTTTTAGACAGAGTCTTGCTCCGTGGCCCAGGCTGGAGTGCAGTGGTGCAATCTCAGCTCACTAAAACCTCTGCCTCCCGGGTTCAAGCGATTCCCGTGCCTCACTCAGCCTCCCGAGTAGTAGCTGGGATTACAGGTGGGCGCCACCACGCCCGGCTAATTTTTTAATTTTAGTAGAGACAGGGTTTTGCCATGTTGGCCAGGCTGGTCTCGAACTCCTGGCCTCAAGTGATTCACCGGCCTCCAACTCACAAAGTGCTGGGATTACAAGCGTAAGCTGCCGCGCCCGGCCACTGGACCTATTTCTGCATCTGTAATAATAATTATACTTAAACGTCTATAGCACTTACTACTTGTGACGTTCTGGTCTGCGTGCTTTTACATAGGCCGTAATTCATTTGGTACTCTCAACAATCTTATGAAACAGCAATACTGTTATTAAGCTTTTACAAATGAGATATTTGAGGGACACAATTTTAATTTGTTCAAGGCTTTACAGCCATTTCAATGGCTGATACTGGATTTTTATCCAGGTGGGATGGCTCCAGAAGCCTGTGCTCTTAATCATTATGCTTTATCTCCTAAAAAGAGGAGGCGAATTTAAGGGAACCTTCTTTTATGGTTTCAAAATTTGTTTGTAACTAACCTTTGAAAGTTTGTAACTAGCCTTTTGAAAAGGGAGACTTGTTTTCTGTTTTTGACTGCAGAGTATAGGGTTACATACCTAGGAGACAAAAAGTAAAGAATTGTTGATTTGGTGCCTAGTGGGGTGACTATCCTTAACTACCCTTGTCTTCTGTGCTTTTTGTTCTGCAGAGGGTCTAAAATGGCCGACTGCGGCAGGCTGGACACACCCTTCTTGTTTTGCCTGATTTTCTGTCTGATTCTAATGCTTTGAGATATCTAACCAGTCATTTGCTGCAGTAGGTTTTTTTTAATCTATTATTAATACTTCGCCATGTTGATCCAAATATACAACAGTGATGGAAAAGTTATTGTCTTTTTTTCTTGTTATAAAAGACTGAAAATACGTGTGTTTTATTTTTATTATTTGCTTAGGGATACATTCGTGGAAGTGGAGTTAGTACATCAAAGTACGGACATTTTAAACTCTCAGTATGTATTGCCAAATTTCTTCCCAAAAAGGTTGTATCAATTTTTACTCATACAAACGTTAAATGTTGTTTTTTAATTTTTAATGGATAAAAACCAGTATTAATTTTTCATTTGCTTATTAGCTTGGATTCTTTCTTCCTCCATATATTTGTCAGCAGTTTTCTTTTATGTAATAATAGTTCATATCTTATGTTGATTTATGTGTTGAAGCTTTAGTTTAGTGTTTATTATTATCTGTTTGAGTGTGTTCTGTAAATAATTACTTTTGTAATGTTATAAATACCTACTCCCTGTTATTGTTTGCCTCATAATTTTTGTTTTTAAATTTTTGGTTAGTACAGATTTGAAATTATTTGGCAAATATATCTTCTATTTTGTGATTTTTCTTCTATTGTTTAAATTTGAATAGCTCCCTCAGTCTAGAAATTTGGTAAATATTATAACTTTGCCTGAGGATAACTATCAAGCATGGGAGAAAAAAGATCCATAATTTCACCACCCAGAGATAACTATTGTTAACACATTTATTCACTTCGTAATCTGCATTTTTTTATGCAGTTGATGATATATGTGTACTATTTTGTATTGTGTTTTGTTTTAAACATTATATCACATAAATGTCCATGTTAAACATTCTTTGTAATTGTCATTAATTGTTTCATGACGTTCTGTTGTATGGAAGTATTTTACAGATTTTCATTATTTTAAATTATGTAATGAATGTCTTTTCATTTGGTTTTTATTATTTATCTATTTTGGGTTGCTTATCTAAGAGACTTCTAGAATTAGTTATTTGTCAAAAGGTTTGAACATTACAAGGAATTGGCATAGTTGCTTTTTTCTTTTTTCTTTTTT